ATGTTTGCAAGTGTAGTGCCTGTCCAGGTGCACAACGCCATGCAGAGCTATGAAAGTCGCAAAGCAGAGTTGGTCAATATTGAGACAGGACGACTGCGAGAGCATACTCAGCTGATGAACGGGTTCGCTTGCAAATTTTTGATCGATAAAAGGATAAAACAGCACATAAGAAATACTCAGGTTTAGAGCAGGACTGGATTTTTTTTTCTAATTTCAGAATTCTTGCCTCTCTCAATTTACCTGCTGCTTTGGATGACGTGACATCAATGGATACTCTTCCGGAGTCGATCAAACTAAAATCAGCGAAGGTTTGCCATCTTCTGTGAATTGAAATGTTGCGGTTCATTTATTACTTACGACTTAATAGATTAAGGTTTTGGGACTGACATTTGTCCATTCCACATTTTGCTTTGATTCCACACAAATACTTGCGTTGCGCTGTTTTTCCCTTCGAAAGTCTACATCTTTTCTTTTCGTTTTCAACCACATTGTTTAAGAAGGAAAGGATACATAGTAGTGATGATTTAAGAAGAGGCGGCATACTGCCAGGCGGAGTTTGAGCCCGGAATTTCAAATTTCTTTTCAAATCTGTAAAGCATTTCTGCAAAAAGAAACATTATGGAGCTTTAAAAGTCACAACTTATACCACTTTTTTTCTATAATACCTGACAGTCTCCCTACCCGGTGTCAATTGGTATAGCGGTAATACCGGTTAGCAAAAGTTTTGATGCTTGTTCGAGTCCCTTTACTGACCATCATTTTTACATCTTTTTTTAAAGGTTTTCTGCATAAGGGTACTTATAAACAGAATTATGCATTTTCGCTATTTGTTCTGATCAAAACTTCTAAATATGCGCATGTAAGGACAGTTGTATAAGATGTATTTCTTCAAAGCGGTGATTGGGATTATCTTACAAGTTATTAAGCAAGGGTTACTCTTTCATGGATATGCCATTACTCAATGTTTCAAACATGAATGCTTCCACTGCACTGAACACAACAAATGAAAGTGATCACATTGATTGTTACTTGGAGCTTCCTTTAAGCTGAGCAAAAAAACCGATGAAGAATTTCAAACGGTAGTGGTTTTTGCCTATATTACGGCCACGTGCCACGAAGAAGCAAGAAATTTTTAAATCGGGTATAACTGAGAAGAGATAAGTGATCTAAGTTAAATCTCTGCGGTGACAGATAGTACGAGCAATATCAACGGCAGCCAAGCTAATTGCATTGACAATTGTTCCTTGTCGTAGTTGTTTTGGTCGTTTGCCTTCGTTTTTAAAAATGCGTCTTATTTTTGACATCTACTAAAAATTTATTTAAAAAATTGGGCTAGAACAACTTGCTGCTTTGCTTAAAGCTGAATTAGGGAGTTTAGAAAAAATGCGTAAATTTCAAGTAAAGAAAGTCGAAGTGCATCATCTGACTACCACTTTTGAACATCAAGCAAGCAGAAGCATGGAAAGTTTTTCAAAGAAAATGCAATGATATTGGTGAAAGGGCTCGAGCTTGCATTACGATAGAAGTACCGGAACACGAATCGACACTGCGTAATAGACTGTCAGTTAACGCAGAAACGAAAGCGTAAAACTTTAAATTTTCAAAGGCTCATAAATTTTTCCAGAAAAACATATCGCAGTTATGGGACAAAGATTTGGGATTTCGGGCACAAACTTACAAGAGTGAGCTAAGTAGTCTTTCACTCAAATGCCAGTGTTTGAACATCCACAACTTATTTAACCACTTCATTATGAAGTAATATAGCCATCACTTTTCTTCTGCCCTCTGAATATCAGTGCTGCATGCACCAGAATATCGGTCATAATTGTGATTTGATTTAGGTAAAACAAGCGGGTGGATTGAATGAGCTCAACCGACTGTTCACAGAATTGCCTGGATTGTACAAACGAAATGAAGAAATTTTGGATGAGGTACCGTGTTTATTGTTGATTTGGAGGCTTTCCCCAATTTTACCCTCGAAAAACTAATTTTTTGATTTAGACAAATCGAATGCTTTCTGAGGAGAAAGAAAGTGATGACAATTTAAGGCGCCAATTTGGCGCAAAATGGTCAAGGATGAGCAGCGAGCAGTTGACAGGACCTCTACTACAGGTA